GTCTATAATCTGAGGATCGTCAGATTCGCAAGTTACTACCTTCCAGTTTGGTATATTTAAGGTGGACGATTCTTTCAGAACACATTGTCCAAATGGCGATAATGCATCATCAATGGCGACAAAAACCATTCTGTATGATTCATGGCGTTGGACAGCAGTCATCCATGAATCCTTGAGCTTGGGGATATCAATCGACGAGTTGATGTGATGAACAGAGTTGTGTATATAATGCTTGTTATCCTTTGAACTCCTCAAGAAACTTGCCAGCATTCCGGACTGTGTGGCAGTAGTGGGCAAGATCTTGGCGATCTCTTCCGGCGATATACCAAGACTTTCGCTGCAGATAGCTCGATGCTTCGCTTCAAATTCGTCAAATGATATAGGAGCGCCTACAACTTCATGAGTAGGCGCTGCCCCAGTATCATTTTTGCGGCGCTCCACTATGGTGTTTCTCAACTTTAGAGGAGTCGCACCTCCAAGTACATCGGAAATAGTGAGCTCGGTGATACCTGCATCTCTGGCTAATTGTAAAAAGCGAATAGCTTTCAGACTGTCAATACCAAGAGAGAACAAGTTGGTGTTCGAATTCAAGTTCGCAGTGGATCCTACTAGCTCCGACAGTAGATTACAAACTAGTCTTTCGATTTCGTCCTGCCCTTCATTATTGTTCAAGCTGGCATCTTCACCATTTTGAAGCGAGTTAGTGGGCTTTGAGTTTTCCTCGTTCCAAAGTTCCTCTGTCATGGTCGAAAGAGATTTTCTGTCAATCTTGCCAGCCAAAGATCTTGGCATTTGAGATAAGACAAAATACTTCGAGGGACACATGTATGATGGTAGAAGTCGGGCAGCGTTCTCACGACACCTAGCTTCCACGTCTTCCTTGGTGTTATCGGCATCAAGAATGATGAAACAAACAGCTTCCTCGCTTCCAGCCTGATTAGCGAATCGCTTATAAGAGACTGTTACCGCCTCTTTAATTCCTGCGCAACTCGCCACGACTGTATCGATTTCGCCAAGATCAACTCTTCTGCCGCTGAGCTTGACCTGGGAAGTGTCCATACGTCCAAGGAACTCAACAACATGTTGACCTCTACGATCAGTAACAATCCGAGCCTTGTCTCCAGTGAGGTACAGTCTTCCGAATTCAGGACTGACGACAAAGGCTTTGGCATTTTGTTCTGGTCGATTCAAATAGCCAATGCTGACTTGAGGTCCTCCAATCGCAAGCTCGCCGGCGAATCCTCTGGGAACAGGTTTGACAGAGCCTGAGCTTGTATTCACAACAAGTAGCGAACATGTGGGCAAAGCTGGTCCGATGATTGAGCCTCTGTCATCAGGATGGAAATTAGGAATCAATGTGCAGTTAATGGCTGCTTCTGTGGGACCATATGCATTGCAAAGTTCAGAAGACTGATCTGGACTAGGTAAACGCGCAAAGTCTTCGATATTTTTTCGCAGAACAGTCTCACCCATGGTCCACAAACTTTTGAGCGAAGTAAGTTTGGAACGACGGAGGAGAGCTGCCATGCTGGGTGTCGCCATCATGACCGTTGCCTGTAGTTCAGATACAACCGCCTCGAAATCTGTCAAGGTAAGGTCACGTGAAGCAGAGCAAAGTGTGGCTCCTGTCGATAATGTCACAAAGATTTCCATCAGCGAAGGATCGAAAGTTGGAGCCGCAAATTGAAACCATCGTGGTATTCCTTCCGATGATGGTGGCAATTTTGAAGTGATAGCATGCGATGCAATGGAGCAAGCTGCTGCAAGATGAGTTATCTGTACACCCTTTGGCTTACCGGTTGAACCGGAAGTATACATGATATATGCAACATCGTTCTCCTCAGGACTTGCTACCATGCGGAGAGATGGGGGATTTTGGGTGGTGATGCCGTCACGGGTCCTCATGTGAATGAAAGACTCAATATCGATCCACTTCATAGAATCTGATGGAATGGCAGAAAGTTTATGACGATATTGCTCCGAACCCAGAATGATTTGAGGCATCAAGTCTTCATGAATGTCCTTCAATCTCTGAGGAGGTGCCTCAATTGGAAGCGGGCAAAATGCCAAACCAGCTTTCAAAATTGCCAAATAGGCAATATAAAGTTCGGCGGAAGTCGAAAGCAGAACAGGTACAAATTTAGAGCTCCCACTTTCTTGTTCGCCTCGGGATACTAAAATATACTCAGCCAGACTCGTCGTGATCTCATTCAGTTCTGAGTAGGTGAAAGTTCTTCGCACGGGAGAGTTTGATTCTGAATTCTGAGATTGGAGGAAATCCAATGCAACTCGGTTTGGATGTTGAACGACCCGTCGCTCAAAATCCGAATGCAACAAAACTTTATCGATTTGAAGATCCGATCCTCTTTCATTCTCAACGAACGAGGGTGGCCTGATTAGTGGTGGGAAGTTTAGAATCGATTCGTTTGCTACGGTTTTCGCATCACTTGATGGGGAACGTCGTAAATAAGCAACGGCGGCATCGAATATATGCGGAGCATCTGAAGCAGATAGTAAAGATGGATCATATGATAGAGTAACTTCAATGATGGATGCTTCCTCTACAGTGATGATGATTGTGAAAGGTGTCTATGAGTATTAGCGGCATGTCTGAGCCTCATTGTTAGATACTTACTATATCGCATGGTGATTTCACATCACGAGACTTGGTAATATGTAAAGCGAAGTCGAGAGATTTCATGGATTGAGGAATATCTTGAACGAATTCCCACGATATGGATGGGCGACTGTCTTGGTCACTTTGAGACTCTTCTGTCAAGCGACCATGGATGATGCCACATTCTTGCGAATTATCTGTAGTTGGGGAGTTTGAGGATATATCAGAGGAAGTGTAGAAAGCAACCTCATCGTGCCCTGTGAAAGCAGCAACGAATTGGGCATAAGATTCATGAATAGCGGAACGATCGAAATTCCATTCTCTAAGTGAGAAAGTCTTCTTGGTTGTCTTCAAGTGCGATTGTGAATCATTTCCGGATCGATTTCTGTTCAATTCTCCTCTAGAAACACGTAAATCTGCGAGGTTTCGATAAGCAGTGTCTAAGGATGGAAAAGTGGTATTGGGTATTATGGAATCCATGGTTTCTGGAGATGTTGATGACTGATAGTGAAGTTATTGATACTAGGGATAATTATTCATGAGAGAAAGTGTCGAGGAATTGAAGACAGGTAAGGCTGGAAATACATGAATCATTATTAGGATGGATGTCAAAGGGTAGCTCAAATCACTTGATCAAAAATTTCTCACTGTCGAGATATGCATTGCCCAATGCCAAGGTATATTGTGGAATCTCCATGTTGCAGAATATAGATCCCGATCACGGCAAGGGGAGCAATCCATTGGGACTTCGGAGCCTTGGAGACCTTGATACTGGGGTCTAGTTGCAAACATTTTGACATTAGAGATCGTCTCGACATACTTGACTCGGTCTCAAGTTCTGGATGATCCACCCCAAAAACTCATTAGTCAATGACGGATCTAGTTGATTGAAGATAACAGTAATGGGCATCTGCATCATCGCGCAGTAGTCGTGTGAGGATGAGGGGTGTGGAGGGTAACAGGTTAAGTACGGGCTACAACGGGTATCCACGAAAGTATTGGGCTATGAGGAGCCAACATTGAAAGGAAACGCTAATTTGTAAAAAATTCTTACTATAATCTAAGCTTGATTTTTATCTGATCTGATCGGATCATCTCTCAGAGTCAGATCCATCAAATATGTCGAACCACTTGGAATAATACCGGTATGGCACTTGAGTTTGTACTACCGTACACAAACGCTAAGCCCTATTAATCTTTTTCCGGGTTAGGGAATCTAATCAAGAAACGTTTTCTATGGAAAGGGCTCATACAATTGGCTTGATGCCGTTGACAGTTGGAGGAAAAATTTCATTCGAAGTGGAGAAGATCCACTATAGTTTCGAAAGCTATATATGGATTGAGTACTGGTATGTGTTCATCTTCTTGTTAGTGAGTTTGTACGAACGTGTACGGCCTTGGCTATCCTTTGAAGAAACCTAAAAGTATGGAGTAGAATATCTATGAGACAGACCCTCAATAATAAGATTGCTTTTGAACTACAATGTAGCATGAGCCCCAAATCAACAACTTGATGCTTAATTGAAGTCTATCGGGATCTATCTCAAAGCTGCCATTATACTTACCGGCAGATGGTCATGGAGAGTTCTTGCTATTCATGATCCTACAAAGTGGATGTTATATTTGCCGTTTCATCGGGTGAATTTTTAAACTACTTTTAAGCATACACCCGTTTAACATTTACCATTGAAAGCTAGCAGAAGCTTGTTCGTTACTGCCGGGGATTGTTTTGGACCATACCTTTTGTGGATAAGGCTCCGTTTTTAGTGCTCTGAGCTTTTCTATAATCTTATCAGATCATCTCGTCCAACCCATCAGATGCAGCCACCGATGTCGGTTCCCAGTTTTAATTACCTGTAAAAAGTTTTCATTACTTAATATACTTTCCTTGGTGTATCCATTATAATGCCACTTGCTACAGGAATCTTATCAGATCATCTAATCAGATTAAATACATGACTCTGAACGGTGATGTGATTTTGTTCTTGTCTTCCAAATTCGTTAGAGGGGTAACTAGTATACGAACTCTGTGGAGTCATTACCTCTAACCCATGTTTTCGACGACATCATTCATCTCATCCACGGAGCAGACCGCTTCTGTCATTAATGGATAGGGGTCGAATTGAACTTAGTCGTGTTTCCATTTTCTCTCAAATGTACGTGCCAATGCTTTGCACTCCGATTTTCGTGCCCAATTTTGTGAATGAGTTTTTGTTATGTAAATTCCAAGAACCCTTCTCCATTGCCAGGGTACCACTCTCGGGAGAATTATAGGCAGAAAATTCATCGCTTGTCAACGCAGAGACTTTTTGTTGATTCAAGTGCATGGTGTTGTATCTTCGACATTCGAGTTCTGTAACAATCATTCATCCTGATTGCAGTCATGTCAAAATTTTCGGCACTGAAAGGTCGAATCTTCGGTCTGCCCTCCAAGGTTGCTGGTGCTGAAAAGCAAAGCGGACAATACTTACGTCTATTACTCTCAAGTGATCCAGAACCGCTCGATTATGTTCTTCTTGTGGTTGGATTCATCACCTCGATCGCTTCTGGGGTTCCATTTCCCCTACTGGGTATCTTGTTTGGCCAACTGGTAGACGACCTCAATTCAACATCTTGTAGCACTTCCTCGACTAGTTCAGCGTCACTTACAGATGGCGTTGTGACCAAAGTGTTAGATGTCATTTACGTGACAATCGCGAATTTCTGTTTGATCTATATTCATACTGGATGTTGGAGTCTTCTCGGTGAGCGTCTTGTTAGACGCCTGCGAATGAGATACCTAGATGTTCTTCTACGTCAAGAAGTCGCATTTTTCGATACATTGCCATCCGGTGAAGTAGCTTCCCGCCTCGATGTCGATCTTCAAACCATTCAAACAGGAACTTCTGAAAAGGTCGGAATCTTCATTGCTAGTATCTCCTACTTCGTCGCTTCATATGTCGTTTCCTTCATCAAGAGCGCGAAGCTGGCAGGTATGCTCATCTCTTTGGTGCCAGCCTATCTTTTGATGGCATTGGTGGGAGGACACTTCACTCAAAAGTATGCAAGCCGAATGTCAGATCATGTAGCAGCAGCGACAGCTATTGCTTCAGCAGGACTGTCAAATATGTCTTTGGTTCAAGCTATGGGTGCCAGTTCCCGCTTGGAAGCTGTGTACGCTCGTCACATTGGTTCAGCACAAAGAGAGGGAATCAAGAAAGCTATTGTCGCATCCGTGCAACTTGGTTGTTTGTACTTCATTGCTTACTCTGCCAATGCTCTCGCTTTCTGGCAAGGAAGTAGAGAAATTGCTGCCTCTGTTGACAGCGGATCTGGAACCACAGTAGGAGCTGTGTATACCGTCATCTTCCTCCTTGTTGATTGTAAGTTATTCATAACCATTTTTTAGGCTCGTGCTAATCATATGCAGCATCTTTCATTGTCAGTCAAATCGCTCCTTTCATGCAAATATTTGCTGCAGCTAGTAGCGCATTCATCAAGTTGGTCGCGACGATCAATAAACCATCCTTGATCGATGGAACAACCACAACGGAAGGCCAAACCTTCACTACAATCCCAGGAGATCTAGAATTCAAGGATGTGGATTTTGCATATCCATCGCGACCTGAAGTGGTGGTTCTTAAGTCATTTAGCTTGAGAATCCCAACCAACAAACACACCGCGCTCGTCGGTCTCTCTGGTAGCGGAAAATCCACTGTCGCAGCTTTAGTTCAACGTCTTTACGACCCTATTCGCGGTGATGTTTTCATTGGTGAACATAACATGAAAACCATCAATGTCAAGTGTGCAAGAAGTTTCATTGGAACAGTCGCTCAAAATTCGACACTTCTTGATCGATCAATTCTCGAAAACATCGCCTACGGTTTAGTCAATTCACCACTTCCAGAGCATATTGAGCTCAGAAAGACGCTATTAGATTCAAGCTTACCAGATCTTGCTCACGCCATCCGTGAGGGTGCCAATCCTGAAGAGGCTCTCGCCGCTAGCTCAACCAACGTTCAAACAATTGTCAGACTTGTGCGAGATGCAGCGATGGAAGCTGACGCTCTTGGGTTCATTGATCGATTGCAATATGGTATGTCTACAGAAGCTGGTCCCGGAGGTAATCGACTTAGTGGTGGTCAAAAACAACGTGTTGCATTAGCCCGTGCTATCGTTCGCCGCCCATCTATTTTACTCCTCGACGAAGCTACTGCATCTCTAGATTCAGCCAGTGAGCATTTAATTCAAATGGCTTTGGAACGAGTTAGTGAAGGAAGAACCACCATCTCTATTGCCCACAGACTTTCAACAATCAAGAACGCCGATAATATTGTGGTCATGAGTCAGGGTGAAATCCTTGAGCAGGGCACATATACTGATCTACTTGCTCGAGATGGCGCTTTTGCAAACCTAGTCCGACTCCAGACACTTGCCTCTTCTGATGAACCTATATCTGAGATTCAAACTGAGGATGCCAATGAGGATGAAGAATATCTGCAAGAAAAGATTGATAATAATGTAAGTAATTCGCTCACATAGATTTTGATAAATCATACTAATCGACATAGGAATTCGCAAAGGTCAAATCATTGGACAATACCGGAAAATCTACGCCAGTTGCTGATAATAGCGATTCTGGCGAAACGATCGCTCCCAAGAATGATAAGACTGCAACCAAAGGCCGATCATTCCTCTCTACGTTCTTTGGTATTATGTCGATGGCTAGACCTCATTTACTATTTGTTTTCTTAGGTATTGCCGGTGCTGTTGTAGTTGGTGGCTCATATTCCGGAGAAGCTGTACTTTTCGGTCATACAGTCAGCAGTTTAAGTCCCTGTCTCAGCGCAGCTAGCATCCGTAGTAACGGAAGTTTGTACGGATTGTTGTTCTTCGTTTTGGCTTTGGCTGAATTCTTCGCCAACGTCATCAGCGCATCTTCCTTCGGTCGTGTATCTGAGAAGCTCCTTTATCGTGTCCGTGTTTTGGCGCTCAAGTCTCTTTTCGCACAAGACATTCAATGGCATGAATCGGAGAATAGGAGCCCTGGTACACTGATTTCGTATATCAGCGCTGATGCAAATGCATTGAGTGGTATTACTGGAACCCTTCTCGGAGTTATGCTGTCGATCATCGTTTCAATGGTCTCTGGAATCATTCTTGCACACGTCGTCGCGTGGAGAATCGCTGTTGTATTACTTGCCACCATCCCCGTCCTACTTTCATCTGGTTTCTTGAGATTGAAAATTCTCGCAAGATTCCACGAAAGACACGCAAAGGCTTTCTCTAATTCCGTCGCTATTGCTACTGAGGCTGTTTCGGCCATTAAGACAGTTGCAATCTTTTCACTTGAAGAAGAAACTGTCCAGGTTTTCAACAGATCGCTGAAAGCTCCTTATACTGCAACGCTAAAGACAATTGCATACGGAAATTTCTGGCTCGCCATGGCTTACAGTATGAGTAACTTCGTTTACGCACTAGCATATTGGTGGGGAGCTCGAAATGTTGCAGAAGGACGTTACAATCAACAACAGTTCTTCACGGTCCTACCTGCTCTCCTCTTCAGTGCTCAACTATGTGGACAGATGTTCTCCCTCGCTCCTGATATTTCTAAAGCCGGCGTATCCGCCGCACGAGTTCTTGATTTGATAGATATCGGTCCTGAGAACCTCCTCGAATCTAAGAATAGCCGAGCAACAAATGATCCAGAAGCATCTCAAGGAATGATCGAGAAACAACCAATCAGATCAGGTGGTCTCGCCGTACGCTTCAACAATGTTCGTTTCTCCTACCCCGCTCGTCCAGATATCGAAGTCCTCAAAGGTCTCACCATAAACATTACTCCCGGTACATTCTGTGCCCTTGTCGGTCGTTCTGGAGCCGGAAAATCAACCATCATTGCCCTCCTTGAACGTTTCTACTCTCCAGCATCCGGCAGTGTCGAAATTGACGGTCAAGACATTTCCAAGATTGACGGCGTCGCATTCCGCGATGATATTGCACTCGTTCCCCAGGAAAGTGTGCTATTTGATGGCACCGTCCGCTTTAATCTCGAACTTGGCGCTCGTGTCGGACATACCCCAACTATGGAAGAGATCGAATCTGCATGCAAATTGGCAAACATTCACGATACCATTATCTCTCTTCCCGAGGGATACGAAACCCCTTGTGGTTCCAATGGTGGCCAATTTTCAGGCGGTCAATTACAACGTCTCTCCATTGCTCGTGCATTACTCCGAAAGCCACGCTTACTACTTCTTGATGAATCGACTTCGGCTCTTGATGCCGAGTCTGAGAAGTTGTTTGAGGAGGCTCTGGAGAAGACAGCAAAGGGTGTTACTGTCATCGCTATCGCGCACAGATTGAGAACCATCAAGAAGGCGTCGACGATTTTCGCAATTGATGGCGGTATTTGCGTGGACCAAGGAAGCCACGACGAATTGGTGACTCGAAATGAGGAGTATAGAGCCAACGCTGCCTTCCAGACGTTGTGAGTTAATATAGTGGTGGCGGGGGAAACCAAGCGTGATTGAAGGGAAAAATCGGATAGAATGAATAGCGTTTTGCATAACCTTATTCATGGTGTTTTTGCTTTCGAAAACCCCACACCAAAATAATTTGGACTTTTTGTACGCTATCTGTAACGAGTACACTTCGAACATGTTTTGGAATTGAAAGAAGGTTTCCTATATCTATAGACATTAGCATACTGTACATACATTTAATTATCAATCTTAGACAACATTCACTTCACTCAAGTCCAGAGATATCATTATTTGTCTTCAATGCCCCTTAGTTGAATCTTGACTTCAAACCAATAGAAGATAAATGGCAAAGTCGTAATATGATACTCTTTCTCTCCATGCTTCCCTCATGCAACGAATGGAGTCCTAGGTACCGGCACTGAAAGTCTGTGATCCAATCCATCGATTCTAAGCCAAGGAGCCAACGTACCCTGAAACTACCCCGCAAACACGAAATTGTGCCATGTGGTATGAGCGGAACGAGACAGGAGATAAATAGTGGAAAGAATACACCGATTGGGCTATTGTTTCTGATATTGTGAATTGATTGAATTTTGTTCCTACAATCCAGTCCATCTATCTGAATAGAACATTCTCAGACTACGACCAGTAGACAAATGACTGCAGAATAATTGCATCAAGTAAATTACATAAGACTATCTATACATTTGACTAATTCAAAGAACCCGTCGAGCTCACCATCTACAAATAAGGAAGGTTGACGCTTTGAAGTACCCCGGATCTAACTGTTTTGGTAAGCCGAAACTACCCCTCTCATAACCTAGCTTCCCGAGCTTCTCTAGCTTATTATTCTCATACATCCCATCCCGCATATCTGTTTGTACTTCCATACTTCTCAAGAAAACAAATACACATACATCACCCTTTTTTCAGATCATCACAACACCAAGAATATCAAGATATTAAACATGGTCACTGCTTCGTACGCCTTCTTTGAGGCCCTTGTTGAGGTAACCAACCAGCCTTATCTTATCATCTCAAAACTTCACATGTAAATAGATCTAACAATGCATTAGGCGGGGGTAACTCATTGCTTCGTTAACTTAGGATCGGATCATCCTTCTATTTTAGAAGCTTTGATTACGCTTAAAAGGGAGAACAAGGGTCCAGAAGTCATAGTAAGTCTTCAGATATATTAATTGATCAATGTCTTGATGACATTTTCATAATCATAAACTAATGACACTTTCTAGACATGTCCAAACGAAGTATGCACATAGATCCTCTCCCCACCTTTGAAATATGCTCATATCTTCCCTAGATGGTAGCCCTCTCTATGGCCGATGGATATGCCCGTCTAACTGGCAAACCTCAATGTGTAATCGTACACGTCGACGTGGGAACCCAAGGATTGGGAGCTGCGGTTCACAATGCCTCATGCGGACGGGCACCCGTTCTTATATTTGCCGGTCTATCCCCCTACACAATTGAAGGAGAAATGCGCGGATCGCGAACAGAATATATCCATTGGATACAAGATGTACCCAACCAGGCTGAGATCGTCAGACAGTATTGTCGATATTCAATGGAGATTAAGACGGGGAAGAATATTAAACAAATGGTTAACAGGGCTCTTCAATGGGCTACTAGTGCTCCTGCTGGACCAGTCTATTTGTATTCAGCAAGAGAAGTCATGGAAGAGGAAATTGATGATTATGATCTGGTTCAGGAACATTGGAATGCAGTGGAGCCAGCTGCACTTTCTGAGAGTTCAGTTGCTACGATTTCTGAAGCATTGGTCAATGCAAAGGAGCCATTGATCATTACTGGCTATAGTGGTCGAAATCATAAGGCAGTAGGAGCTCTTGTTGAATTGGCGGATACAGTTAAAGGTCTTCGTGTTTTGGATACTGGTGGAAGTGATATGTGCTTTCCAGCTGATCATCGTGCTTGGCTGGGATTGAGATATGGCAGTGACAAGGCCATTGAAACCGCCGACGTCATTGTTGTCATTGACTGCGGTACATACTCAACCTTTCAACAATGATATATGGAGACTAACATACTTTCATGCAGATGTACCCTGGGTTAACACTTTGTGTCATCCTTCAAAATCAGCCAAGATATTCCATATCGATGTTGACCCACTCAAACAACAAATGCCAGTAAGTCCCCCAAGTTTCATTCTATGCGAACGCTTTTCATGAAGATTCCCACTGAATAATTTCAGGTATTTTATCTTGCCGCACTTTCTCGTTACAGAGCGGATAGTTACACATCCATAAGCCAACTCATAAAATACATAAAAAATGCTAGTGACTTCGCCAACACACTCTCCTCCTCGCCATACACGGAGCGATGGGAGGCTCTCGCTACAGATCACACCAAACGTCTTGAGACTATCAACGCCGCTTCGTCAAAAGTCTTTGAAGATGATTCCTTCGGCACCGGTTACCTCTGTCAACAACTACGCAAGATCGTACCTGCTGACACAATCTTCGCTATCGAAGCTGTAACAAATACCGTATTCGTAGCAGACAATATTCAAGCTACTCTCCCCGGTTCTTGGATTAACTGTGGAGGAGGAGGATTAGGATGGTCTGGTGGTGGAGCTTTAGGTATTAAATTAGCATCTGAGATTGAGAATGGGAAAGGAAAGGGGAAGTTTGTCGTCCAGATTGTTGGAGATGGGACATTTTTATTCTCGGTTCCAGGAAGTGTTTATTGGATTTGTCAAAGATATGGTATTCCAGTTCTAACTATTGTTTTGAACAACAAGGGTATGTTTTTATTGATGGAGTATATGGAAATTCTGATTGCAGTTACTAACGATGGCACAGGTTGGCACGCACCAAAGCGATCTCTCATGCTAGTTCATCCAGATGGTATGTTTTTCTTCTCCTACTTCTCACAGTCAAACTATCATTTGTGACGCTTCTCTAACAAAATATCAGGTATTGGATCCAAAGCCACTAACGAAGAATTGAACATATCATTCGCACCACAAGTCCCAGATTACGCGGGAATAGCTAGAGCAGCATCTGGAAACAGCGTAATGGCCGAAAAGATTTCGAAAGCTAGTGAGGTCGAGAAGGTCTTACTGAAGGCTGTAGAGTGTGTTAAGGGGGGTACCACCGCGGTGATCGATGCGGTTGTTGTGCCTGGTTGTTAGGAGAGTGCATAGCTGGTGATCGAGTGGGGATATGGCGATTTGGAGGAGGGAAATTTTGATGGGTTACAGGCTTCTATGGGATTCCGCGGTGGTAGATTAGATATGCGTGCATGATCGTAGGGGATTTTATTGATGAAATCATGACATTTGGTAAAACATCCATGGAAGTAACGTTGTGTTATGGTGAATGCGCTTTTGAAAGACAGAAACGAGATTAGGCGAAATTGGAGTGAGTGAATGGATGGATGTTTTTGGAATATCTAATTACTCGGGTGAAACTTTAATCTAAGGTTTGAGAATAGAATGGTAGGGTGATAATGATAGTGAATCAATCAACTCATATAGGCGAAGTGAAGATTAGAATATTATTAGGATAAGAGGGGATGAGATGGGATAGAATAAGTTGAAAGAAGATGATGAAATGGAATGGAATGAAATTGGGTAGATACAACGAAAGAGTTTAAGATAAGATAGAATAGAATAGAATGAATATGAGTATAGAATGAGATGAAATAGAATGAGATGAAATAGATTAAGATGAAATAGATTAAGATGAAATAGAATGAGATGAAATAAATAGATAGGATAGTTAGAATGAGATTGATTTATATGATGTTATATTTATTAGTTAAGTTAGGTATTTGGGTATTAATAATTGATAATTTAGGATTTAGGAGGAGAAATGAGAATGAGAATGAGGATGTGTATTAGTAAAATGGGGATAGAATGGAATAGAATAGATTTAATAAAATAATAGTTGATAAGAGAAGAGGAAGTTAAGATTGCACGAGAGGGATGAGAGATGAGAGATGAGAGATGAGAGATGAGGGATGAGAGATGAGAGATGAGAGATGAGAGATGAGAGATGAGAGATGAGAGATGAGAGATGAGAGATGAGAGATGAGAGATGAGAGATGAGAGATGAGAGATGAAAGATATGGAGATAAGTAGATATGAGTTCTTCATGTATCAAGTGAATTAAACAGATAGATAGATTAGTGGAAGGGGGAAGATCGATGTTGAAAGTTTAGATACCTCATTGATATATCGAGATATGAAAGGATTGGAGAATGATTCTTAATTAATCGTCTATTTATTTAATGATCCAACGAATCATCCAAAAATCATGCACATTCTCAATCCACCACATTTTTCACATCTCCCAAAATGCTCATAATCTAAACCTCACATATCAAGAACCACTCCCCTATCTCGCCAATTCTTCAACTAAGACCCATTAATAATCTTTTCCATCTCCTCCACATCCTTAACCACCGTCGTTAAATTATCATAACCATCTTTCGTGATCAGAATATTATCTTCAATTCTTACACCTAGTTTTATTCGTTAATTTCTGCATCAAAACACGGAAGACAGGAGAGAGCAAGAAGAAAAACCTACCTCCAACTTCCCAGTACTTCTCCAAAACATCCGAGTTGATATATTGAGCATGTGCTGGATCTTTAAGATATGGTTCAATGATGAAGCGACAGAAATAGATCTGATATATTTGTATCAGTCACAAACCCCAAAAGAGCAGACAGGAAAAAGGGAGACGCGAGAAAAGAAAAAAGAACAAAACATACACCCGGTTCAACAGTAACTACACTCCCCTCTGGCAAATTTCCCCTAACTCTCAAATATCTAAACAATCTATCCTTATCCTCATAGTTTGGATGTCCACCAGTGTCATGCGTATCCATTCCGAGATAATGTCCTAATCCATGCGGGAAAAACGCTACGCTTGTTCTTGCTTTTAAAATCTCTTCTTTACCACCTTTCAAGATTCCTAAGGAGAGAAGTCCCTCGATCGCGACTTTGTGGGCAAGGAGATGTACTTCATCCCAGGAAATACCGGCTTTGAGCATAGAAATACATTGCGATTGCATGGAGAGCACGATATCGTAGATGGAGCGAGATTCGGGTGTGAAGTGGCCGTTTATTGGAAAGGTTCTTGTCTGTCAGGATGATTAGCGCAACTCTTAGAAACCCATGAGAACCCTCGATTCAGAGAATAGAGAAAAATCTTACAATATCCGAAGCATAACATTGATACTCTCCTCCAGCATCCAAAAGCAAATTCAATTTTCCCTCCAACTCCTCTGAATTCTTCATATAATGCAAGGTAGCAGCCGCTGTACCACTAGCCACAATGCTGTGATAAGCTTGTTCTCTCGCTCCATTCGCAATGCTCTCTTTGATAAAAAGCGCCTCCAATTCCCTTTCATTCTTCGCATGTTTAACTGCTTTCAAAACTGCCGTGTGTCCCACTTCTGAAATCTCATTCGCCCTTCTCATCAACGCAACTTCATACTCTGATTTGCGTACACGAGCTTCTTCAATAGCTTCCTTGAGGAGCGTGAAATCTTTCTGGGGAAATTCAAGGAAGGTTATGTGGGTAGAAATCTGGGGTGCGATAGCCCAGACCTTTGTTTGGTTTGGGAGGGCCAATTGCGCGTTTATGGTATCGGTCGTGAGGACTTCGTCGACGTCATAACGGGCGAGTGCTTCTTCAGGAGAAAGAGGAAGACCAGTCCAGATGACTGATTCCGGGTCGATTGGGGGAATGAAGAGGGTGCTTTTGTCTTTTGCGATGTCATAGGTAAAGTAAGCGTCAGGGAGATCGCAGCCGGTGAGATAGTAGAAAAAGCGTCGTTGTCTGGAAACGGGATTGTTAGTATGAGCTCTAAATAAATTCAGAACATCTTTAATATATGCCAGATTCAATATTCAGCATTTCTCCCACCAACGTACCTGAAAGGAGCAGCCTCGTCATTGTCCTCAATCATAATCGTCTTCTGCGCCTCCAAATACAAGAGTCCCTCTGCCTCCGGCTCCTTACTCTTAATATATTCCACGACCTTCCTCACATGTTCTTTTGCCGGGTATTTCCCCTTCAAAATCGTATCCGTAGATGAAGCCATATTGCGATGAATAATCCTCGGATTAATTCCTATCTGAGATGTATCGCCGGTAATTCGAGCTCTATCCAAACCGTATTTTCTCCAGCTTTGAGATATAATTTTCGGTTGGATTGGTATGAAGGATGCCGTTTGAGAAGTACTAGCTCTGGAAGAATAAAATTGTACCTGTGCTACACACGCTATTCTTTGTCGTCTATTCGGACAACGTGGTGTGAATCGCGGGGTATCTGACAAGCGGAACATGGCCATGGCCGTTTCTAAGCGTTGCTGATGAAAATCGCAGCTTGCCTCGGTGAGGGGCTAACGGTTGGGCTAAATTTTAGAAATTTGACATTATTACTAGGTAGCTGTCGATTTTAAGCTTGGCAGTTTTAATTCTCAAGGATCGATGCTAAAAAAGGAGTTTACGCATGTGAAGATCTCAAGAGAACGCATGTGAATGAAAGTAAGAATCGAATTAGACTATTGTATGTATTCCGGATATCATTAAATTCTGGATGTCCAATCATCCAATATCGGTATTTCAAAAACATTGACAGTGTACCTACTGCTAGAAATGAAACTACACTATCAAATTATCGAACAATCCTATTGCCCATTCACACGATTTGGAGCAATGTATATCCTCCAACAATCGTGATCCAAGCCGCACCCATCATCAAATGCTTCCAATGCTGCCTCTCATATCCATGTTGTAGCCCCTGATCATCTCAACTGTGTTCTCTAAAGTAACGAGGCCGAACCGTATATGCAATCTGCTTCAGTTTCTTCATCTGTGACCTGTTCCATGCCATGCCTTGCTCATCTCTCATATTCAGGGGCCATGTACGTCTTGACTCGGCCATTTTCCTACTTTCCAATATCGCATGTATCATATTTAGGCTATGCCTAACGTACACCTAAGCGTCCGCCGTTACTTCTAACACTGTCTCTTGTGCAGCCATACCCGTTCTACCCTTATTCAAGAGTGACATTTTCGGGACGAAATTCACTCCTCCCTGTAAAGACGATAATTCCTTTAGGCTTATCGCGTGCTGTAAGAGAGCTTCTTTACTAGTCTTAAATTCGAAATTTGTAAGGAAACAAAAATTGATTTCCAATCTCGAAAGCTCTTGTTCACTAACTCCTCCGACTTTTGAGAAGCGTGCATGAGCATAGCTTTGGTCCTCGAGTGCTTTCATAGCCACACGTAGTCCGGCTAATATGAGTCGATGTGAGTTTCGCCTTGTTACAGGTATGACTCGTTCATCGACTGCCACCCTGTGTATGTAGGAACTTGTTGCAAGATAGACAGCTGTTGACATTGGACAAAATGTGTGTATCCGCATCAGATAATCTTCCAAAGAGATCGGAGGAGGATGCTTCGAATAAAATTTTCGTGTGATAGCACTGTGTTGAACATTCAAAGGCTCCGCATTCTCTCCAACGATAATATATGGTTCTGCGGGCACAATGTGCTGTGTTTCCAGAGGTTTCGGACGAAGATTTACTCCATCTATAACCTCAGATCCAGAAGTTCGTTGTCGAAACCCTGCTAAGTTTGTCCATGATCCAGACCGTCGTATGTTTTCTTTCTCTGCCTGCATTCCCCTCATATTTGGCATCGTCGTTTCGGCCGACGCTGGCATGGGAGGAATATCTCCCGTAAATTGAACTAGAGCTTCGATGCCAGCACATAACAATTTAAGTGCTGTTATCGGCGAAAGAGTAAATATATCGATGCTACTGGGAGATGGTGGTGAAACTCCACGATCATTTGCACAATGGTTAACCGTAAGACCCGCATCAGATGAAGGATTTGGTGGTGGTGGTAGTTCGTGGTCAGTATGATCCTCTGAACCGTGGTTCGAATTTACGAACGCCGTCGAGTCGGATCCATCTGTAGGTAAAGGAGACATAGTTCCGGATTTATTGTCTGTGAACTAAATCTCTGTGTCCGACAGTAAAAAGACTCAACCTTTCAATTTTTGTTATCTCTCTCCACCAAATATCCAAATGAACGTGGATGATGAGATCAAGAATTAAGAAGACGCCGGGGCCAGGGAGGCTTAATGGATGCTTGGAAGAGCTCCAAGAAGCGCATGTTCTCGGTGACAGACGATATGCAAAATTTGTTGTTGGAAGGCGAGATTGGGTTGTGTATGGAGGAATTGATGGTCTTATATTTGAGTGGAGTGGGAGTGGATTCAGGTTATAGTTAGTTTATAGGGTTTTTGGGAATTTCCCTCGGCGCTAATAAGAGAAATGAACAGAGGTGCAAAAGGTATCGGTACAGCAGAGGAATGGGTAGGTATAGAAAGCGACAAGGAAGGTTACACAAGCATGTGCATTGTGCGGACAACATCAACTGATCGATCCCCTTGTCTTTCCTTGGATCGTCTCGGAATTGGATTAAAATGAGTAGCATGGGATTATGCGTCAACAGTCGGTGGTATCCGTAACATTAGCAGTATTCAGCCTGATTGTGGTACATACGGAGAGCACTGCATTCAACGACTACGAGCAGAGTACCCGAAGAGAAAATATGCTCCTCTCAAAGTCTCAACAAGCACATCCGTCCACCAATCTCTAAGCTAGTTGATAGCGACTGGTGACTAGTGACTAGATATCGACAAAGCAGAACTAATTGAAATAAGCCGACGCTTAGAGACCTTAGCATCAAGCGGCCACTCCACTACCCACTGATAAGAACCGAGAGGCCGGACGGAAAAAGGAAAAGAGGAAAAAAAACTACAAGGAGCACGTGGATCAACACCAGGGTGAAAGAACCTCGGGGAAGACCAAATCTAGCAACGGGGCCTATACATTGCACGCACGCCACGCGGTTGATGAAGATACCTAGTAGGCAGTTACTGGGTAGTTCATCTGCAGAATCAGATGAAGTGCATACGGAGTCTAATGACTTCCAGATCAATCACTTCCAACTTCCAACTTTACTTCAACCAATAATCACACCTCGCGTCACTTCATCTCAGGATCTGGAATAAATGCTACCGTGTCGTGGAGATGGTCAGATATCTACCTAGCATATTATTATATAAGGGGTTTACGAGGCTAGAGCCACGATAATGGCTCGATACGAATCCCTAATCATCCTTACTAAATCTGGATGAATGGAAAGACCACGAGACTCTCAAAATTTGACGTTGGGAGATTATTCAGTTACAGAATGACAAATAGAGTAAAGTACGATATTCGGGATAATGGCTTAAGCGCACCCGTCAGGTAATAGTGGGAAGGAGGCTTAAATTGATTTGTTAATTTATGAACTAGATACCTAGATACCTCGACACCTAGATGCCCAGATACCCAGATAAACTTCTCAATTTACTTTACCTCTTCCTGAAATTGGCTCATATTGGGCATGTTGCATTCAGGACATGTAGCATTCTATGGATGTTGTATCCGACTAAGTAAACATTGGCAAGCATTTCCCCGCATCTAGACATTCCTATCAGACCCTCCGCGCTGGGATTAATATCGGAATCACCTCTCCGCTATCCCCTGAGATTATACCAATATGCAGACATCTTGCAGATAGTGCTTGACGACCCTGGCGCACAGTACCAAGTGATGGCTTGACTGGGTAAATTCTTGATTCGTTGGGTATACACGGTATTCATCTAAACTAAAACCTCGAATACCAATTCGAGTGTACGCCAAACTCCTTTTCACATGTTCATTTGATGCCCTATTTATACATCATTCATTGCCTTTCTAATGATTCAATCCTTCCATCTAGCCAAGAATTTTGCCATATCATCTGTAGGCATTGATGCAGCAGCAACCTTTCATGTGTTAGTCACGTCAAGTTTGGATTGTTGGGTTTGTGTCTTGAAACTTACCGTATTAGGATGACTTGTAAAGGAAGCTGTTTGAGCTTGAGTCAAAGTTGTGTCAATAGTTGCCGAGCTTAGATACGTGGTGGCTAGAGCAACAGACGATGTTGGATATTGAGGTTCTGTGTTCGTAGCCGTTATTGTGGTACCAGGCATCAGGCCCATTGGAGCATATCTTGTAAGGCCAGTTTGTGATTGGTATGGGGTTCCATAAACGCCCTCGTCCGCAGTTCCTGATGATGATGCGACTGCCGTATCTGCCACATTATTGACAGTCGCCGGTCCAGCGGTGTCAGTAATTGTGTACGTGGCTCCAAAACTTCCCGTCATGCCGCTAATTGAGAATCTATCCGAATAGACGGTAACAGTCCCTGACGCTGTGGTTGCTATCATTCTCATGAAGCTGCATTATCATCAGCATCAAGTCTTCTTTAACTCTAGCTTCATAAACTCACTAGGCATTGGTCACCGATGACCCACTGGCCGCTGGTACAGTGACACTAGTCGAAACAGTTGACCCCAAGGTAGCGGAAGCAGTTACGGCGTATATCACTTTGAGATCCTTACCCGAACTGGATCCTGCGCAGACATCTAATTGATAGGTGGTAATATCAGCTATAGCTGGAGCATCTCCGTTGTCTGCCCACGTAACAGTAAATGGAGTTGCAGCTGTTTCTACCGCTGCGGCTGCGGGTGCTGAGAATTTTGGATATGCAATTGCGAACGGAGCATATGCCAGAAGGACTAAAGCTTGGGAGAAGCGCATGATGAATATTGTTCGTCAGCGCTCGCAGATTGGATATCGGTGTTGAATATTGATCCTCGTATGAATTCTGTTTGGCAGAGCGAGTTTTATGGTTCTTATCGAGTCGTACGTGGTGAAAATTGATTGATAGATTTTAAACTTCCAAATATATTCAAGAGTCCGAACACAGAAAGAGAAGGCGGAAATGTAACTTTGAACTTTTGGCCTTAGGCGGTGAAGGGGGCTGCATCTCAACGTTCACGGTGTTTGAAGTTCTATAATTAGCATGTGAAAGTTTCTACAGACTCTGTGCTATTGGATAAAGATTTTGATATGCAATGCAATTTGGATTGATGTCAAGTAAATGCCATTTCGATGATTTCACAATGCTCCTTCCTAAGTACTATGAAATGAAATACTTGTATGCAATTTCTTCATAATCATATCAAATCGTGATAAATGTAGGTATCATTTTGTAACTTCGAATGTCAGACACCCAATGTCCGTCTTAAGCCTTATAAGGTAAAGGTTATACTTCGGTCTCCACGGCTACTTGCGGTCAAATCTTGCCACGAATTTTACCTCCCTAGTACCTTATCGCTTATCCAGGCCAAAGACCCCTCCCCTTCACTAAAACTCGAAGGGTAACTCAATGAAGAATTTCATTGTCAAGCTTTTACTCCGACATTTTATAGCAAATTCTCCTTCCACATTGCGACATTAATCACCAATACCAAAGAAGACAATCATTTACTTCTTCCCTTCCATCACCATCGTTCCATCTCTTCCATCCATCTCGTTTCTATTCGGAATCATCTACAAATCGTTAAATTTCAGCTCAAACATCTAGAACCATCATCAACATGGCATCCATTACTAGTCCTGCGCGGGCTCCAGTCCTTGCAATGAGTGCTTCCGAGTTGATTGGAAATACTCCTTTGGTACGACTAAATAAGATTCCACAGAGTTTGGGAATCGAAGCCGAAGTTTATGCCAAGGTCGAGCTCTTCAACGCTGGCGGAAGCATCAAGGATCGTATTGCCCTCCGCATGATCGAGGAGGCGGAAAAGTCTGGAAGAATAAAGCCCGGAGACACTCTCATTGAGCCAACCAGTGGAAACACGTAAGTTTTTCTATACCACTTTGGCATAAATCTCTAATCATTCTCTAGCGGTATTGGTCTCGCTCTTGTTGGAGCTATCAAAGGTTACAAGACAATCATTACTCTTCCCGAAAAGATGTCACCCGAAAAGGTCGCTGTTCTACGAGCACTTGGAGCCACTATTATTCGTACCCCAACTCAAGCAGCTTGGGACGCCCCCGAGTCCCACATCGGAGTGGCAAGACGATTGTTGAAAGAGATTCCAAACTCTCACATCCTCGATCAATATGCTAACGAGAACAACCCCAACGCACACGAATTTGGAACTGCAGAAGAAATCTGGAAGCAAACTGATGGCAAGATTACTGCTGTTGTCGCAGGAGCTGGTACAGGTGGAACCATTACTGGATTATCTAAAGGCTTAAAGAAACACAACAAAGATGTCAAAATTATTGCAGCAGATCCCCACGGATCCATACTTGCAGTTCCAGAAAACCTGAATCAAGAACACGCCAACGAATCATACAAGGTTGAGGGAATTGGTTATGATTTCATTCCTGATGTTTTGGATAGAGATTCTGTCGATGTGTGGTACAAGACAGATGATCGTGAATCATTCGCCTACGCACGTAGATTAATTGCCGAAGAAGGACTTTTGGTAGGAGGTAGTAGTGGTAGTGCTATTGCAGCCATGGTAAAGGGAGTCCGTGATTTGGGACTTGGTAAAGGTGATACCGTGGTAGTCATCCTACCAGATAGTATTAGAAGTTATCTCAGCAAATTTGCCGATGACGACTGGTTGGCGGCCAACGACCTCCTCCCTCCTACCCCAGAGTCTTCTTTGCCAGCATCCCCAGTCGCCAAAGCTCAATCCAAGAAAGATCCATACTCTGGAGCGACTATTCGATCCCTTCGCCTCAAACCAGTCACATCTGTCCTCGCCAACTCCTCTTGTTCTGAAGCCGTCGAAACCATGCGTGAAAAGGGTTTCGATCAACTCCCTGTCCTCGCTCCAAAGGGCGATAAACTCGTCGGTCTTGTCACCCTTGGAAACCTTCTCAGTTGGATTAGTCGCGGGCGTGCCACCGGAAAAAGCCCAGTTTCAGATGTCATGTTCGATTTCTCCCACATCCCTGAAGTTATCACCGATCCCAAGGATATCAGTCATCTTTCTTCGCCTCCTAAGAGCAACGGTATCGAAACGACAAAGGATGGCAAGAAGCAGACCACTCCAAAGCGCAAATTCGTAGAAATCACACTCGATACTCCTCTTTCCGCCTTGAGCAAGTTTTTCGAATGGAACAGTGCCGCAGTTGTTACCGAGAAGGGAAGCGAGGCTGATGGATTGTCGAAGCCGGTCGCAGTTGTCACAAAGGTTGATTTGTTGAGCTGGATGGTAAAGCAAAGCAAAGTTTAAGGGACCTGGTGCATGGTGTAGGGGTTGGAAACGGCGTTTTGGAGCAGTGTTGCATGCACTGTGATAGTGTTTTTGGGTTTCAACACCTATTGGGATGGTACAGAGCTCCTGCATTTACGATGGGGCATTGGAGAAATGAGCATTAAAAATGAAAGACATAGATATAGTAGTCAGAAGATGTAGAGCTTCTTAAGAAAAGATACCCGCTTCATCAGCAAACATAAACTCCCCGTACCATGCCAGTCGTGAAATGATCACCATTTACATGTGGGAGCGGTTGAGAAGCTTGTGAAACGTCATCATTTGTTTAATTATACAATTTACAATTCGTTCATGTCTCTGACAGCTTTAAAGCCTAGGCACGCGCGCGCGAACAAACGAACTCATCTATAAACCTAAAAAGCCCAACGACTTTTGACCAAACCTTTTCGTAAGTATTATGGCTAATCGGGTTTGGTCTGAATATATGCCATGGTAAATGAAAATTGATCTCCGCCCACCCTCAGTATGCATCATTTTTTTTGATCAAGAAAAAAACGAGAAGCGTGTAAGCAATTACCCTCAACGCCATGCATCCGTCCGATCTACCACTCCAGATTGGAGATTTGAAAATAGCTCAAATACCCACCCCTATTGCATGCCTATCTATTCTTGGTCTGTTGATCCAATCATGTATGCAGGCATTGTGTGTAATGTAAGAATCCACATCCCTTCCCTTCCCATTCCCTTCCCAACCCCTTTTTTCTAGGGTCTAAGCGATCAAACGTCTTCGAACTCCATATCCTCTTCACTCTCCTCTTCATCTTTTATAGCCGGTGCTGCTGGAGCAGGCTCTTCGATCCTAACTCTCTTCATTGGTCTATCCTCGCTCGGTGTATTAGGTCCTGTTACCGGACTTCCTGCACCTGTGCTGGTTCCACTTGCTGAAACACTTTCATTTCGTGAATGCTTCAGGACACCGCTGAGACCACTACCACTCGTTACACTAGGCTTGGTTTCTGTGCCTCCCACTGAGCTAGCTGGAGTGGCGGCACCAGATGTGGTGCCATTTGGAATAACGTCTTCGAAGCCTTCTTCTTCTTCATCGTCGGTTTCGTATTCTTCATCTGCTTCTTGTTCGAGTTCTTTAGCTTGCGCAGCCTTTAGTTGCGCAAAATAATCATCAATTTCAGCCCCTTCACCAGTACCTTCGGTATCAGGTTTGATATCCTTCTTATTGGTGTCAACTGCAGGACCAATAGAGGCCGTAGGTTGGTTGCCAAACTTGACCTGCTCTCCAGTGATAGTACTATGAGTGAAATGCTGAGGTAACGCATTCTGAGCAGCCGTCTTCTCTTTGCGAGCTTGTTCAGCAGCGATATCTGCAGCTGTAGGTCCTTCTCCTTTCGTCAAAGTAACCGAGATGGACGTCGGTCCAGTATTATCCAGACCACGAACAGCAGTTGGTCGCTCGGAAGAGAGAGCGACGGGTGCAGTTTCACTACCAGGATTGGCTTCATCTCGAACCACTTTACGAGCTGTTGAGAGAGCTTGTTCAAAGGTGTTTGCAGGGATGACCACCTTATCGATTTTTGGGAGTAAGTCGGTGATGAATTTAAACTGTGCATTGAGTTTCGATGACTGTTCATGTCCACCACGGTTATTGTCAGGATCGTGTACTAGAAGATAGTCGCATTTGTGACATAAAAAGCCGTCATAATTTCTCTTGTCCAAAACCTCGAATGTTGTCCATTCTGATTTGCATCGAGGGCAAAAGTATTCCTTTCTCTCATCATCTGGTACAGTATTTCCTTGCACAGCCTTGTCTATCTGGTAGACTCTCCATTTAATCGCATCGATTGTTGCACGATAATCGATAAAATAGTAGGTTCGATTAATTGGTCGTTGTTGGCCTTCTTTGATCTCTGGGCGGGAATGCCTACACAATCCAATTAGCAAAAGCCAAAATGCAGAATAAAACTATCTGCCATACACTGCAAGAAATCGATCCTCCTTCAACTTTCCACAAAGCTTATGAAGCTCCTTTGTGTTTATGCTCATCAGGTATGCTAAATCATCATCGCGCAAGCTATAAAATGTCAGCTTTCATTTCCCAAACTTCCAGAACCGCCCATAGAAATACGTACGCAGAGTGGATGACGAGCGCATCAATCACAAGGATATGTTTTGTGTCATAGAACGAGCGCATACAAGAGCGCACTAACATCTGGGCGAGATCCATATTTGCGAATGGATGATCAAAAAATCGGTGATAGAAGATGAGATCTAGGTCTAGTACTAGGGAAAGAGGGGATGCGGAGCCCTGATTGTCTGTGAGTGTCTCGAAAAGAGGTAGAATATGTCTTTGAAAGATGGACTTTGCAAAGTCGTTAGAGAGAGAATTGAAAAAAAGACAAAGAGATATTTTAATAAATGGTGTCCAGGATGCCCATGATGGTTTTGTATCCTCAAGACAATAAAGTAGAAGACATGAACAGGGTGAGTTGAACCCCCTTTTGTATCTGTTGTTGAGGGTTATGGTAGGGTCACTGTCCGTATTGCTCACGATGGCGGGGAGTCGATTGAATAAAAATTTGATATGATTGTTATGTGCAGGAGATAAAATGAATGGATATTGATTGCTTCAATTGGCAAGGCTGAATGAGATGAGGTAGAGCTGCAGTAGTGAGTTTTTCTAATTATGTAAGCCACCACTTCACCATATCAGGGTTTAAAGATAAACAATTATTGGCCGAAGCTCGGACCAAGATACTAAAAATTATTGGGAGAAATATTCATGGGTTATATTGAATCTCTAATTTATCAGGTTGTTTTGTTTTCAACTTCACGTATGTGATCTATGCGCATTTTTCAATTATTGAAAAATACGTTCGCATACATCTCCGAAGTTCGAATAACTACATCAATCATGGAGGCGAATGCACAATCCGGAGGTCAACGAGGTGGAGGAGGACGAGGGCGGGGGCGGGGAGGTTTTGGCAGAGGCGGCAGAGGAAATTCTAGAGGTGGTTCCAGAGGTGGTTCCAGAGGTGGTTCCAGAGGTGGTAGAAAGCCAGAGATGGGTCGCAAAGAGTATCAGTCAGTCGGGATTCTAAACCCTCCAATTGATTCTCTCTAACTTTATTTAGTCGACAAGAACCAAAGAGAGATCGAAACGACGACGACGACCAAGCATCGAAACGCAGAAAGACGGTACACAATGGGGAATCAGAGCCAACAGCATTTAGCACGGAGTTTACCAAGGAGGAAATCGAAAGTGAAGTACGAAAACCAAAACATAAAGTCGCCGTCATGATTGGCTATGCAGGAACAGGATATAAAGGCTTGCAAATCAATACCAAGGAGAAGACGATTGAAGGTGACATGTTCAAGGCTTTTGTTGCCGCCGGTGCAATTTCGAAAGCTAATGCAAATGATCCCAAAAAGTCGGCCTTGATTCGATGCGCACGAACTGATAAAGGCGTTCATGCAGCTGGCAACGTTCTCTCCTTGAAACTCATCATCGAAGACCCGAAAGTTGTTGAAAATATCAATTCCCATTTACCAGATCAAATTCGAGTCTGGGGTATCGAAAGAACTACTGGATCTTTCAATTGCTACCAAATGTGCGATTCGAGGTGGTACGAATACTTAATTCCAACCTACTCATTCATTCCACCTCATCCTAAGAGTTTCCTTGGAAAGGAATTGCTTCAGGCCGCTGAGAAAGAAGGCGTTTTGGAGAATTACAATAAACTTCAAGAAGATGCTGCATCGTTTTGGACCGACGCTGAGAAGGAATTTGTACAACCTATTCTGGATAATTTGGACCCTCAATTAGCAGCGGATGTTATGGAAGCTATCCATGCTGCCGAGGAATCCAATGAGCCAATTGGAAAGAATATCAAGAAGAATAAATCAGAAGCTAAGGACGACTCTGAAATCAAGGAAGAAATCAATGAACAGACTCAAGAAGAACCTGCAACAAAGACTGAAGCGGAAACTGGTGACGGATCAGTACTTCAGGAACCCGTAGCAGTTGAAGTTGCAGGAGAGGCGAAGACGGAGGACTCAGAAGCTATGCAAGGCGTCGAAACTACTGAAGAACCAAAAGCAAAGGATGAAACTAAACAAGATGAAGGAATTAAGCTGGAAGCAGATGGTGCTCAAGAAATTTCGAAATCGATTCTCACACCCCTGGAGAAGGCTGTCAAAGAAGTAAAAGCAGCTTACATCAAAGCCAAGAAGGCATATCGCATACACGAATCTCGTAGAGAACGAGTACAAGAAGCTCTCAACCAATATGTCGGCACTCATAATTATCACAACTATACTATCCTCAAAAGCTTTAAAGATGCCTCTTCTAATAGACACATCAAATCTTTTAAGATTGGAGCCCAACCTATCATCATTCACGATACAGAATGGCTTTCGCTGAAAGTTCATGGTCAATCATTCATGATGCATCAAATCCGAAAAATGGTAGCCATGGCAGCATTAGTGGTACGATGCGCTTCGCCAATGGAGCTCATCAAGGAAACTTATACCGCTGCTAAGATTAGTATACCAAAAGCTCCAAGTTTGGGTTTACTATTAGAAGCTCCAGTTTTCCACAATTATAATGAGAAAATTGCAAAGGATTTCGATAGGGAAAAGATAGACTTTGAGAAGTATAGAGAGAAAATGGATGAATTCAAGCAGAGAGAGATCTATGATAGAATTTTCAGAGTGGAGAATGCTGAAAATCAGTAAGTCTATCATCCTTCAAATTGTGAAGAGCAAACTAACAAAATGACAGATTTCATACATTCTTCCATCATTTGGATCATCATCGAAGCGATTACTTCTTATGGCTAACAGCGTCAGGCATTTCTGCTGGAAGACAGCGTGGTGCAGGAAAGGACGTCCTAGATGCTAGTGATGATGAGGCTGACGTCAATGGTGAGGAAGGTTGATTTCTATCTGGGTTCTGGGAGAGATCGGTAAAAACTGCAGAGGAGGCCTCTTAAAATTACGAAAGC